TGTCCAGTGAGACCAACAGGGAAAACTGTCCCCAACAGCAGCAGGGACTTCATCGTCTCAGGTCTTGAGTTCCATAACCGGAGGTGGACAGAACAGGAGCTGGCCTCATGCTTCTGGTCAGAAGCCTGTGCTCACTGAACGCCACCGTGAGTCCAGTGTCCTAGCTGTGTTTTTCTTCTGTACCTTTAAGGGCTTCATGTGGCAGCTGGGGACAACTGAAGGATTGCACTTGAAGTCACAACACTGGGGTCCTTTTGCTGCTTCTATTTGCCGTGGGAGGAAAGATGTGCTCTTCTGGTGTCAGATGCAGGAGTTGAAGGACTTCCAACTCTTCTGGAAGCTCTTCTAACATAAGAAGCAAAGGGTTCGGCACAAGGGGCCCAAGCTGCTGTCTCGTTGTTGCTCTGCCCTCAACCCTCTGAGTCCTGTCCACCAGGTGCAGAGCACTCAGCTACCTGCAGGCTCTGTCCCCAGCCTGCGGCTCTTCCCTGGCCCTGTGACCAGGAGGCATCGGAGGCAACGCACTGGGGAGGGCCTGTGGGTCTCCTTAATCCTTTCCGAATGCTGATTCAGTTTGCTGAGACACAGGAGCTCCGACTCCGTGGACCTCCAGGGGCAGCTTAAAGGTGCCCACGAGGACCTGAGGTACCACCTCACTCCCCTCTTGTGGTCTCCTCAGTGGCAGCATCTTCTCAATCTAAGCTGCAGGTGGGAGGAGGTCCCTCAAGAACCTAAAAGGACAGCACACGGCCCAGTGCCACCAGGTACCCCAGGATGTGCAAGTGCCCAAGTGTGTTCGCTGACAGGTGGGTGTTTTGTCCTGATGGTCTATATAGTATTTATTGTCTCAGTGAATGTTCTTTCTCCCCTTCACCTAACATGGGAAAAAAGAAAAACAAACAGAATCGTCTATATTACGGTTTGCAAAGATAAAAGCTTGGGCTCTGTTCTTCTACTACGATAATTATCACAGAGCAAACCGGTGAGCTTTTCCTGTCACACATTGACACTAATGGCATGCTTTGCTTTACGGAGATAACACTGACATTCATTTCCATTGTCTCCAAACTCTTCAACAGCCAGATCTCTGGGGCCTCTGCACTTAAGACGGCTGCAGGGAACTCAGTCCCTCAGTCCCCAGTTTAGAACCACGTAAATCGCCTTGCCCTGGAGGGCAGTGCCCCGCCACCTCTGAGCATCAGGGACGAGCTCTTGGGGTGACGGCTCCTGCTACGTCCCTCCTAGGTCTTCAAGACGGTTCGAGGGGAGGCTGGTGGCTGGAAGGTCCTTCCGTGTTGCTCGAGCTGCAGTGAGAACCCTGAGGGTGCCCACAGAGCCCACAAGGACCCAGCCGAGAGGACTCTCAAGACGGCTTGTCTGGAACACCTTACAGATGAAGTGGCACCAGGTGAAAGATCACAGAAGGTCCTGGCTTTCTAATCCCCAGTCACATCACCTTCTCCCAGGCTGTCCTCAGAGGCTGTAGAGCCACCGCCGGGAAGGAGACCTGGGAGCCCAGGGGAGCAAGGCCGCCCCACAGACAGGTGTTCCCATAGGACGGGAAGAGTTGGAGGAACTAAAAGAGAGTTCTCCCAGGAACATCACCTTGTAACTGCATATATTTAAGGCTGATTTGGATCTTATTCTCAGAGAAAATACATGGGCCAAAGAGTTTAGAAAACTTTTTCCAAAAAAGGAAGACTCAGTGCCATTTTTGGGTTGAAAAGACGGTACATTCACGGGTAAGTTATGGCTGATATGCTGGATGTGGTCATGGCCATTAAAACATGTCTTTAATCCAGTAGTATCTTTCCTTCTCCCTGTTCACTCAACTCTTCACTCAAGGGACATGTCAGCAGTGAATGTGTGCACGTGGGGACACATGCACGAGCAGAGGGAAAGGGCGTCTGAGGGCTGGCACAGGCAGGGGACCACGACAGGTGCGTGGTGGAAGGACAGGCAGCTCGGGGCCAGCTGAGAGGAGCCCCAGTGCTGCATCCAGGGCTGGAGCTTGCGTAGGTAGCCGCTAAGGACCACTGATGATTTCTGAGCACGGACAGACAGGGAGACGAGGAGACAGCAGCCACGGTGACTAGGAACTCGTGGCAACGTCTGGTTGATGCACCATCCCGAGCACCAGGATGGTGTCAGGAGACGGGGAGACGGCGACGTTGGGCAACGTGGGAGCACGTCCGTCCAGGGCTGGGAGGGGTCTCCCTCCAGGACCCTCTTTTACGGCATGCGCTGCGCTGTCACGCAAGCACTCTAGCACCAGGGGGTGACACCGCCCCAGCCCCTTAGGAAGGGTCGGTGGGCCTCAGACTCCACACCAGGAAGAGGTGGTGGCCCCGAGTCTTGCTCCTGCTGCGAACCTGCCTCCACAGGCATGCGGTCGGCGAGTGAGGCAGGTGCCACGTGTGCCGCTCAGCATCACGGGTGCCCACGGAGCTCTGCCGCACCCTGCTGCTTGCTCCCTTGTTTCCCACAGCAGCCCCAGGTCCCTGGCACCACTGGTCCCATGTGCTGGGCAAGGCCAGATGCCGGGTGTGCACGGAGCTGGCACCCAGTGCCTCCCAAGTCTCCTGCAAGGGCCTTTGACGCTGCACCTGGTCAGCCTGTGTGCTGGCCGAAGGCAAAGGTCTGCACCTCTCAGGACTTACACAGACACTCCTTGGAGAAGACATGGTGCCGCAGAAACCTAGCCAGGGCAGCAGGTAAAGGCTGCCCAGAAAGTGTCCTCCACCCAAGGAGGCACAGCCAGGAAATCCCACCACTGCTGAGGGCTGAGGACTGTTTATTTTTAACTTTTTAATGTTTTATTTTTATTTCTTGGCTCAAACCTTTCATTCCTGTCCTTGTCTCTTCATGCCCCCCCGTCTCTCTCTCTGTGCGGCCCTACTCTGCGCATGCACGTCTCACCTCCAATGCCACCATCTAAACATGCACTCACTGTAGCAGGCTCAGCCTCCTACAGGAGGTACAACTTGAGACTGACTCTCCAGGAGCCTTTCAGACCAGGAACAGCCTTTGATTCACTTACTTGTATAGTGAAGACCCAGAAATAAAATAACCATGATTCATGGGAAAAAAATCAATGCAAAAGAGAGTCTTTCAAGTGGCATTTTCAAGCCAGTTTTTGTGGCCAGCTCGTGTAATCGGACACGATCACCTGCATATGTGTGGCCACAGGGCTTCAGCAATGACTCCCAGCCCCTGGATGACGTCAGAAGGTCAAGGGTGGGTGGAGCCTGAGGGCTGCTGGGCAGGAGGAAAGACGCAGCCCAGACCCCCAGCCCAGACCCCCAGCCGTTTCCTGCCTCCGTGGGCATGGCCGCCCACTTCCCACTGTGCTGTGGCTTGCATCTGCCCTCCTTCCTCTTCCACGGAAGCACAAAGCTTGGCTCTCTGTGAAGTCTGTCTTATACATCCCAGTGACACCCAGAGGCATGTGTGCTGAAAGCCACATGTGCACCCTGTGACCTCAGCCTGGAATTCACTTCAAGGACACACCTCCCCAGTGTGGCATCTCCAGGGCTGCTAAGCAGGCTCCTCAGCACCTAGCCGTCAAGCAGTGAAGACACCCAGAATTGCTAGCTTAGTGCAAGGGGGAAGGAGCGCTGTCCTCGGAACGTGGCGTATGTTCAAGGGGGCTGCCGACACCTCCCTGCTCCCCAAGATGGACAGACACCGTAGACTGCCTGAGGAAGTGGACTGTCTGGACTTCCTGACTATGAGTGGCCTGAAGAGTCACCAGGATGGCCTCAGTCTGGGGACGGCCCCCTTCCTCAGTGTCCTCACCAAGCCTTTACCCAGTGACACTCCAGTTCTCAAGGATGGGGACTCTCGATCTCAGGTAGCCAATGCCGTTTGGAGAACTCTGACATGAGCTGATGTGAAACCCGCTACTCTGAAGCGGTTCTCCGGGAACCCCTGCTACCCCTTGAGATCTGCCCCCATCTCGGGTGGCAGCAGGGTCAACCCTTATGTACCAGCCACATCTGAGAGTCGTGGTTTCTCCCACGAGCTCAGCCCATGGAAGGTGGCATTCTGGGACTCCTCAGATGGGCTGCAGCCACCTCTGACTTGACGGATGCGGACTCAGAGGGGCCAGGCCGCCCTCGCTGCCGACATCACTCCTCAGTCCAGGCCGCTCAGTCTTGCTAACAAGCCGCGCCCACCGCCCCTCATTTGCTGTAACCAGAGCGACAGAAACAAGCAGCGTGCAGGATCCCACCCGGTGAGCCCCGCGTCCCCCAGGAGCTCTGGGCCGGTGGTCCTGTGGCAGCCTGTGGCCTCCAGGAGCCCACTCATCGCCCTACCTGGGAGCGGCCTCCTCTCCAGGCAGCCCTTGTCCTGGCCTGCTGTCACCACTGCTGAGACAGTGGACGGCTGATCTGGGAAATCAAGTTGGATTGCTGTCCCAGCCCTGCACTGGGCTCCCCTGGTCTGTCTGATCGATTTCACTCTGAGCGCCACAGCTTGTCGCTATGAATTTTCATGCTAGTCAGCAGCCGCCAGTGCACCCAGGACCAAGGAGAAGGCGCTCCGTGCCCTCCGTCCCTCAGACACACCCAGCCTCTGCGCTGGGCTGCTTCAACTGTCGACTGACAGATTGGGAAGGGTCCTTGTTTTGGCCACAGAACGGGACACAGGGGATCTGGCTGCTGGTTTTCTTCCCCTGTCCCCCCCCCCAGCTCCCGGTGACATTTCCTACCACAGCTTTGCGGGGTGTCACCTGTTTAGCAGCTCCTCTCGGCTGGATGCATGTGGCCGCAGGTGTCATGCAAACACTGATTGTGTCTGACAGCCCCGTGCCAGCTGCCTGCATGACGTGCGCCAACCGCCACGCTCTGTGGGTACGATGCTGCCCACGGCGCAGCCGACGCAGCACAAGAACGAGGCGACCGCAGAGCTCAGGCGAGTCCTACTAAGTGGCATCCTGAGCCCTGTGGCCTTGAAGTAATTGGTAGTGATAGAATGGAAACAAAGGGTGGGGGGACCTTGTTTTCTTACACTGATGCCCTGCGGACTGTACATCTGACTGGCTGCGAGTCCGTCACTGTATCCTCCTGTCTGGCTGATAACATGGCGAAGGGTATCCACCTAGACAGAGGAACAACAGAGGAAGTTAGTCAGAGACACGGGCCAGCGCGTCGTCCTCTCCCAGGTCGCCAAGGAGCGCGGTGGCTCCGGGCGTGCTCTTGGTAAGTCTGTGAGGAGGAGGCGGGCAGTTCTCCGAAGGCCAGATCCTTGACCAGGCTGCGTTCAGTGAGCAAAACAGCAAGACGGTGAAAGGAGGGGGGCCCGAGACCGACCCTCGGTGCTGTGCGGGCTGGCAGGGGCGGCAGAGGAGGCAGAGGAGGGTGGGTGCTCTGCCTCCCTGCGCTCTGCTGTGAGCACACTCTGCGGCACTCTGACTGGGCAGCCAGCTTAGAGAGCAGACCGCCCATGACCCCGTGGTGGTGAGGACACCCAGGAAGGCCCACGTCGGACCGAGGACCTCCCACCAGTCTCCACTGTGTGTCCTGAGCAAGGGGCCAGCTTGCTGGCCAGCTGGTCTGTTCCAGGCACAGGGCCTGCTCCACACCGGGATGGGAACCTGGGTCACCCGGTTCAGAACTGCCCATCCGACGTGGGCATCTGCCCATCCCGACCTGGGCATCTGCCTCTGCCCTCTCACAGGCTTCCTGCCACAACCAGAGGGCTTCCTGAGAGCTGCGAAGGCGACCAGCTTCCTAGGAGCTCTGAGGACCTACACAGGATGTGGTGCTGGCCTCCTGACATGGACCTGTCTTCAGAAATGCAAGCCCACTGACCTCAAGGGTGCCTGAGGAAGTGATTGGCTTGGTGCTTTTAAAGCTTACAGTGGAAACGCGAGATGCTAACGTCCTCGCCTACTCATCACTGACCGCCTCATGTTGGAGAATACTGACCAACAGATGAGAGGGAGACTGGAAATGGAGACACTGAAGTCCTCCTTCTTTGCCTTTGGTGAATAAAGAGCACACTGTCCTTCTGTCTGACCTGCTGTGGTCACTTGTCCCTGTCCCTACGCTCCCTTCCTGCCCTCCCCGAGTGACTGGTAACCACAGTCCAACGCATCCACCAAGTGTGGGCGAGAGACCCACCACGGTGGTTGTCTTTGGACTGCTGTGGTCACGTGGGGCTGCGGGGCTCTCCCCTCTCCTCCCTCTCTGGACAGACGCAGGGAGCCAGCATGACTAGGCTCTGGGACTCTAGCGCATTCACCTGGTGGCACAGTGGCTGGTCCCTACCTGTGATTGCACGTTGGCTCCAACCTGGGCCCCTTGGTAAGAATCCCCATTGAGTGACTGCACGCTCATGAACAAATCTCCAGAGTTTGACATGTTAAAAGAACTGGAAGAACCTGGAAAGGAAAGAGTGAGGCACCTGAATGACAGACAGGAAAAGGCCCCCGCACTGACGGCCAGGAGCGAGAGCGGCATGCAAAGCCCCCAAATACCACCAAACAGAAGTGCGTCCAGAGCCCGGTTAGTAGCAGGAGAAACAGCAGGTCACACGGGCACGCGGTCGGTGTTAGGGAAGCACACCTCACTCAGGGCTCAGCAGCGCTGCCGCCTCCCAGCCACCTCCAGCAGGGAGAGGAGACCCGTCCTCTCACCCGGCCTGCTGCGAGCCTGTCCCATGCCTCCAACGTCCTCGGGCGGCCCAGGTGGAGAACCCACATGGCAGGCAGCACCAGGGAGGACAGGCAGTCACACTGTGGCCCTGGGTGGGTCTGTTGTTATTCCTGACTTCTAGGAGGAAGGTCAAGCTCCTCGCGGGGTGGCCAGCACCCCAGAGGATCATGAGCTCAGGAGCCTGTGGAGACGGTCTACCTTCCCCACAACCTGCCAGAGCTGAGGAGGGCAAGATGGTGACAGGCCAGGAAGTCAAGCATGCACAAAGTCAGAGGCGCTGCAGGTGACGACATCGATGATCATAGAGTGGCTTGAGAAAGGGCAGCGGCCAGGTTTCCACCTCCCAGAGACGGAGGCTCCTCCAAGACGTGGCCTTTAGGTCCATCCTGGACTCCCTGGACCCCGCTGGCTGCAGAGTGGCAAACCTCGCCCAACCTCAGCTCAACGCAAGGGCTTGCAGAAGCTGAATATTATCCCGAAGTTGCTGTGCAGCTCAGCACATTAGGAAAGAAAGCTCAGCGTGCAAGGTTTGGTTAAGACACACGTTAGCCTGAAGAGGAGAGACCCCAGGGACCCAGGTCAGCCACGCTCCACTGCCTTGCTACCCCAGGGCTCGGGCCCTGCGCTCTGGCCCTCCTCCTCTAGGACAGCCACCCTCAGTGAGGACCCATGCCTCACGGTGTGTGCTTCAGCTCTGCAGGCACTCCCTCCTCTCCCAGGCTGGCCCTGGGCTCTGCTGCAGAGCCACACTGCCGGCAGGAGGGCTGCAGCCAAGCAGGAGGCTTCTCCCTGCAGAAGGACCACTAAGCTCTCTGCTCTGAACTGTGCCACTAGGCCATCTGCTTGCACCCACAGCACCATGACACTTCAAAAGCAAGAGCCACTTAGGGGAACTAGATGGCGTACAAACTGTTCTGCCTGCAAGGAACTAGCTGTTTACTACTAGAAGGATCCTCTAGGTATCGGCAGCTCCTGCTTTCCCAAGGAAGAGGAAATGCTTTCTTCAGGCATCAACCCCAGAACTGTGGCATCTCCACAGCTCTGCACCAGTCCCACCTCCTCTGGCATGTTTGTTAGCTCATCTAAAAGGAATTAGAAAGTTGGGGCTTAGTAAAACAGGCCTAAGGTCCGACCAGGTGTGGCTCATATGTGTAACTTCCTTCCATTAATATGATCAAACCTTTGCAAGTACCCTCCCCAGCCTGAGAGGAAGCACCATGCAGCATGGGTGCCACTCTTGTGTTAAGTCATACAACACCTAGGACTCTAGTTACTTCCCCTGAAGTCTGTCTGTAACCTCAGAGAGGAGCTCGCACTATAGAAGCCATTGCAGTAATCGTCACTATACCTGCTCACACTTGGAACCAAGAACCCAGATCAGAACTGTGACCACTCCACCAGACTGCTCACTCCCCAGCCAGAAGGCTGCTGATGTGACTGACGCCCTGCCTTGGCCCTGAGGGTGCCGGGCACTTGTCTCCCCAGAACCAGCACACAGGCTGTATGCCTGGCTGGTGGTTTATGGGAAATCAGTACAACTCTGAGAGATGGGAGCCCCCAAAGGGCTGCACTGTGCCAAGCGACAGGGCATCCATGGGCCTTGAAGGCAGAGCAGACACCACTTACAAGACACACACCACAATCGTCACAGATGATCTAAAAAATATATGTGCATAGATACATGGTAAATATGCCTGGCTGCCTAACGTGCACAGAGGTAAATATGCGCATATAAATGCCCTCCATGTACGAGTGCGTCTGTGTCAGAGCGTGATTGCAGAGTGCTCTCTGTTGTGCTGGTTCAGCACTTCAGTGTCTCTGAACGCCGGGCACAACACCATCATGGCTCCCGACTCTCCGATAAGCACCTAGGGCAGCAGCTGCATTGAAGGAGGAGGCTGGGTGCAGCTAATACCTCAGCCAGGCAGAAGTCCACCTGTAAACCTAGGAGTGAGGGCAAGTCCTCTGTGCCCAGCACTGGGGGTTGGAAGGAGCTTGTTACATAGTGGATCACCCCCGAGAGGCACACGGTCCCAGTGAGAGCGTGGGCTCTTGTGGAGAGGCTGTGGGAATCTCATGGGGCTGATGCCGGAGGGCGGGTTTGCTGAGATCCTTTGGGAGCCTCACCTGCAGGAGGCTGTGGGGCGATCAGCAATTAATACGAGCACATGGTAAGATGTGCTTGTCAGGTAGAACTTTCTGGATTTGGTGTAGGAATGCAGGCAAGTGGCTCAGTTAAACTGCCACACAGATATTTGGACATGTACAGAGAGATATATCAGCCCTCAACTACAAGGAGGACAGACAGTGGGTGGCCCAGGACCCTAACACATTTGCTTGGGAACACACATGATCTGGAGTCATTAATATCCATTTCCTAAAGCAATTTCCCCAAGGTTGCATTTCTTCCCTAAAAACCCTTTAGGAGACTTGAGTTTGTTCAATACATAATGATGGCAACAACAAAGTAAAAAACTTGTTGACTTCATAATTCAAACACACAAAAAGGAATAATAGTAACCAGAGCCCTACAGCTAGGGCAGCGCCGTGGACCCGGCACTGCTGACGTTCGGCGTGTGCTCTGCGGGACGGGGGGGGGGCGGGGGGCGTCCTCCCATCTCTGCACAAGGAAGCCCGGAAGGCGCTCCCTGCACAGCGCTGACAACACGGGTCTCCTGGGGTGCACATGTGCTCCCCGTGGAGAACCAATGACCCAGAAGGAAACTGGGCTGCTCTTCCTCTAAAGAAACTCAAAAGAGCTTCAAAATATCAGCTCAGCATTTCTCACTGATTTCAGTGAAGCGGCTGTGTGGGAAACAGGGCCTCAGCGCTGTCGTGGGGAGTCCAGGGTCAGGAGGACGTGTGGTTGTCTGCACCCCCACCCTCCTCCCTGTGTGTCGGCTTGATTATGTCTCACTCTTGCTCCCAAGGTGGGGCTCTAGATGTCTGAGGAGGTCTCAACTCGAGCCTTCATGACCTCATGGATAACAGGAAATGCACAACACAGCACTCTAGGTCTCTGCAGAAGAGGGAAGGACCAGGGCTTTACACCTGCTCCAACAGGTGCCCATCTGTGCCTTCTTGCTGTGTGAACTCTACAGCACATGGATCACCTAGACCTTGCTGACCACACCCAGGTCCTCTCCTCAGTGACGTGGATGAAGTAGTTTGAAGAGAAGGTGGCAAACAGGGACATGCAGAGGCCCTGAGCGCTGCTCCCCACGCAGCCCTGGGGCGGGGAGGACTCTACCTGCAGGAGGCGTGAGTACCCTGGTGATGCTTCTGGACAAAGGCCTGCTCCTGCGTCCCTAGGCTGCAGAGCGCTACCTTCATGCTATCCTGGTGTCTTATCACACGCCAACCCTTCTCTTCACGCCATCTCTCCTTTAAAATGCCCGAGAAGCAAGTGCCTGGCCTGATGGACCTGCCCACCACTTGGAGCGTTGCTCATGTCTTTCTGGGCAGGGGTTTGGGTTGAGTTAAGAGCAGAAGGAAACGCCCGCTGACGGCTTTTCCTGAGGAGGTATTTATCTCTCCACCCGCCTGCTACTGCACATAGGGAGGGGGTTTCCTCAGTCTCTGCTTTAGAATGAGCCCTGTGAGGGGCTCCCCTGCACGCTAGAACCAACAACCCAGGCACGACTGGAAGGCTTAGCTCAGGCTTTCCACAGTGACTGACTCTGTGCTCAGAACAGTCACATGAACTTTAAGCCACCAGAAAAATTCCTTTGAAAGCTATAATCACAGACTGACACTCCGTGAAAGGCCACATGATTCTTAAACACAGAGTAGGGCGTTAAAATGCTTACTTCTCTCTTTTCTAAGGGCTTCAGGAAAGAACAAATAGTTAAGGATTTAGAAATGAAGGGAGTCCACAGGGCCCTTCTAGGACTAGTCATAAATCATGCTGAGCCATCTGCGATGCAGATCTGAAGACTCGTTCTGATGTCTGCTTTGCATTGTGATAATCTTTGTGAGAGTGCTGAGTGCATTTTTGCTAATGTGGACAGAACTGCCTTCTTCCAAAGAGTCCACTGAAAATGTCTGTCCAGCAGTGCAGCTTGGCCTATGTGGCTGGGTCTGAAATTCGTGACAGCTGACCAGACAGGGAAGACGGAAACTCTCCAGCCTGGAGCGTGCTCCTCCCAGTGGCCCAGGCTGCAGGGCCGGACCAAGGCTCTCCACAGCCTTCTGCGAAGCCCAGGCACTCCTCGGCTCCTGGACACAGTTCCTTCTAAACAGCAGGTGGTGGTGGCACAGCCACTGGCCTGGGTAGCCTAGTGGTGACAAACTAGCGTATCTAGATGCTCACAGGAGGTATTACTGTGTGGAGACCTAGGTGTCTCCAACAGGCAGGAAGGGAACCCATCGTAGTGGACAAACAAGGTCTGGGTCAAAGACACCACTTCCTCTAAGTGTTAGACGGGAGGTTTTATACCACATCATGGTGGTGTGTATTTAAATTTGTTATTCACCCTCATTCTATTGTCATCAGCTTATTGGATGTGACTCACAGCCAATCCATGCATTGTGTTCACTACGGGGAAGGGCAGAACCTGATACCAAGCATCTAATAAGGGACCGAGTCTGTTCCTCCCTCACACACAGACACCAGCATGCTTCCAGAGTACACAGCAACAGGGTCGTGTTTTATGCATTACTGGCTTTTTGCACGGTGGAAATTCAGTACTCATGGCTTGAAGCACACTCAGAAATACCTAAGCTCAGGAATTGGTGACACTATGCACAGTCACCAAAATAAAGTGCACAGCACAGCATGTGACACTGAAACTTGGAAACTGGAATAGGAATAATTTGAATTAGCAACTGGTGATTTTCTTTGCAGTTTGCATAAAGAAAACCAACAAAATAAAACAATAAAGGATAATAGCTATAAACATGGTATAGAAATAACTGTAACCTGACTTGCAGATCAGAATGTGCCACAGAGTGAGCATCCTGCAGAGCAGCAAGCCAGCCAGGGCCCAGGTGCTACATGGGGGACAGCAAGACAGACAAGGCTGAACCCGGAAAAGACCTGAGGATGGAACCCCAAGGGACCATGGTGAAGCCTCAAGTCTATCTTATTTATTGGAATCTCTGGACTTAAAGGTCTCCTCAAGACCAGACCGTGCATCTGTCTCCAGCACACACGTCAATGCAAACCTCAGACGGACTCAACTGCACATAGCACCCTGCTGCTTCCATGTGAAAGTAACCCCCCAAAGTGGCATCAACGACAAAAAGAGCAGTTAGATCCACAAGTCAGCCCATCCTAAACCAAGAACCTAAAGAGTTCTTTCATCCCCCTCTCTGTGGGGAAGGGGAAGGAGCCAGGGTCAGGGGACAGAGAGTGAGGGAGGGCAGTGGGCAAGTGGACAGGGTCAGAGCCTGATATGTGCATGTTGGGGATGTCTCATTGGAACCCATCAATCTGCACAGTTAGTGGGATCGAAAGCTTATTTTAAAAGGACATTTTAGGAACCGTTAGGTATATCTGAACCGGCCTCCGTATTATACATTAACAGCATGTCAGCGTAGGATTGGGGTCCTGGTGATGTGCTCTTGGTTTTGTAAGAAAGCATCTTGTTCGCGGGTGATCCTGCTGGTGCTTTAGAGGTCTCGGGCCACGGTGTCTGCCACTTTCATGTGATGCCCGCAGGTCATGCTACGTCTCACAGAGGAAGATTTAGGGATGAGCCCGAGAGCTGTCAATTGTGAAATATAGCCAAACGCATATACAGATTCAACTTTTCTGTAGAATTTAAAAGTTTTAAAAATAGAATGCTAGGGAGAAGGTTATTTTAATGAAGCAAAGAGGAATAAAATTCTACCACAACCCGTGAAGAAAGAAATGAGTGAATCAACTATTAGGCCCACTTCATGGTGCGCTTTTAATTTCAACAGCAATAACAACTAATGTTTGTGGAGTCCTTCATTTGTGCAAAATGCTTCTCACAGTCTCACTTAATTTTCAAAATCACACCTTGATATGGAATAAGTTAGAGATTTCCCAGTGTGGTCTTGGGAGGGGATGATGGCTGGAAGGGAGGGTGGAGCTGTCTAGAATATGATTTTTTCACCTATGCTGTTTGAAAATTTTACCAGTGAACGTTAGGGACTATTAAATTCTTCATTTAAACAAGAAAAAGAAAAGAAATAGAAATAAAACAAAAACAGAAACAAAACCAAAACCCAACATAGAAAATGAGTGTAAATGGAGACTGAGCCCCCAAATCAAAGGAAGCACTAACCAGCGGAGTTGGGGGTGGAGGGCGAGTTAGCTTGGCTTCCGTGGGCTGACACGTTGGTGGCAGTGACCGCCGTTTTGGCAGCATAAATATTGGCTTCCTCTTGAAATTTACCTATGTTCTTCTTGTACCGGATTCTCTTATTTCCAAACCAGTTTGATACCTAGAGCAATTTAAGAGAAGTCACAAAGTTAATGTTTCATCCTTCAGAAGCTCTGCAGAAGGAAGGAAGGGCGTATTGACACACAGGCGAGGGTCTTAGGCTGCAGCATGAGTTAGGGGATCTGAATAAAGGCTCAGAAGGAGCAACCTCACAAAAGATCCCCTTGTTAAGGCAACTGAAATTTAGCAAAACCATTGATGGAAGTTGTTCTACAGAGAATCTGCTCATTTAAGCTAGGACTCTTTTAGCTTAGGGTAAGCATATTAAATTTGTTTACCTCCCAATTTAGGACACTAAAGTCAATGCATCAGGAGGAATGCCTGTTTCTTATCAATGCCAAAGCTGACTTCGAACAATCAAAACACAAAGACCTTTAAATAACCATATAAGTCTCTATCGACATACGGGTGTTTCCATGCACAGGTTGGTTTCAATGGCTTGGAAGTTAAATAGCTCTAATGTGGACTTAGATTCTTAGCTGTCATGTGCTGCCCCTGAGGATCCCCATAACCCAACCCAGCACATTTCACTGGGTGTTTCCTGCGAAGCTTGGTGGTGGACACACAAGAGAAATGGAAGCCCACAGCTGATTCCTTTGAATTCCAGGCTTTAATGGCAGATGCCAATAAACACCACAATCCCAAGTCACTTTCGTTTGCTAGTCTGCCCCTCAGTGTTCTCCCTGCAGCGTTCCGGGCCTGGTTGGGGGTCTCTGCCCACTTGCACCAAGACCTCTTTCAGGCTCAAATGGAGACTCAGCGCAGCTCAAGTTCACCCCCACCCCTGCTGGGGAGGTAAGCGCCAAACCCCACATTTTAGATGAGATCTTGAACTAAAATGTGGTGGTCTTGTGTAATTAGAAAACAAACCACAATTTGGTGAGGGGAGGTGAATCGGTCACACATGGAGCACAGCTTACATGTGATTTATACTCAGCCCCTGAACAATGGCAGATAAAGAAAATTTGTGCAAAGTCGTATTTACTTTTTAAGTGCATCCACAAAGGTAAAACATCGTGTAAGGTGGCCCCTGGAGGCCTGCACAGTTTAACCTAGAGCAGAAACTCCAAGTCTCTGCTATAGAGATCAAACTGCACCACTGTGATACCAGCAGAGAGAGAGAGAGAATTCCACAACCAAGTGCTTGTTTCATTGTTGATGCAGGAAAAGAGTCACACTGGAGGAGGGAAGGGGCACATCCACGCAGGGCCACTGCCGTCTAATGCCACCTTGAAATTCGGGTTTTCCTTAATGTCACTTTTGCCACTTACATGAATCAATCAGGGTCATCTTTTTTTTTTTTTAATTACTTATAAATAGGACAGGGAGGAAGCACAAAGGGAGGAAACTGGAAGAAAGGGAAAGATGAAGCAGTTCAGGAGGACTTTCCAGGAAGAAGGAAGGCCCGAGGTCCAAGTCATCAGCTGTGTGTGAGAACAGGAGGAAGAGGGAGCAGGGACGTGCCAGGGACGTCACGACGCCCTCGTGACGGAGAAGGGCAGGACCGGCAGGGACGTGGGTGTCAGTTTAGCACAATCTGCACTGCGACCCGGAAGGTCGAATGTCAAAGCTGCATTCACGTCCCACAGCCACGGATGGAGGCCTAGTGGGCGAGGGCCAGGGCTGCATAGGTAACCCGGCCGGACGGAGGCAAGTACAGATTTCCTGGGGAGAGTTGGATTTGAATCGTGAACGGGCCGAGTTGGAAGACCCTGGGGGCAGAGCAATAGCCAAGGAGGCAGATGAGGTGTAGCCTGGTGTCCTGGGAGAGAAGTCCCTTCCGGACACTTGAGCAGAGGCCCGTTGGTGCTGAGCGTGCAGAGAGAGCTTTCACAGCCAAGTGCTCAGGAGAGCTGCGGAAACAGTCTGCCCCGGGGCTGGGGATCGAGGTTTCTCCCAGCCCTGGGCGGTGCTGATGTGGCTCTATGTCCCTGCATGGAACAGCTGGGTGAGAGGAGGCTGGCTGGGCTCCAGGGAGCGAGGTGCTGGGTGCACTTCAGGTGGACTTGGGTCTGTGAGCATGCTTTTGCTTTGGGTCATGGGAGAAATCGATAGCTCTTAGCAGACTGCCGAAGAACCGGTGTCAAAAAGAGGTCAAGGGCCATTGGGTAGGGCTTGTAGGGCTTCCAGTGAAAGAGAGAACAAACAGTTCCTGAGCAGGTCGGGAGCGGGCCTCCAAGAAGAGCGAGTGACCAGGAGGGAGGAGGACCCAGGAGAACGGCAGGGAGGAGGCCAGGGCGGGAGACTCTCGAGGACGGTGCTAGCCAGAAATGGCAGAGGAGGCAGTGAGTCCCCTTGGCTTGGGGACTGGGGGCCAGTTCGACACTCCACGTGATCCAACCAACCCTAACTGACAGAGGGTTCAGCTAAGACCCCAGAGGGAAGAGTGAACCCCGAGAGTCCCCCAGTCGACGGTGCTGGAAATGGGCTCTTGCCTCGTGGTCTTTTGTGAAGTGCGAGCCATGGTGCCTCCCAGCAGGGCTGTTTGGCACATGCAGACAGCTGGGCTGCTGTGGGAGGGACAGGTGTGACGAGGAAGGAACAGCAGGCCGGCCCTGGGGTGGCGAGGAGAGAGAAGGGCAGCGGAGCAGGAGACATCTCCATGAGCACTGCACTGCACTGAGTCTCCACCACGAAGGCCAGTCGGCGGGACAGGCCAGGTCTCTGCAGATCTCCCACAGACCAGCTTGGAACAATCCCTTTCACTGTGAGAGGGGCTTGAAATTCTGCACCCCAGACCTGGACGTCATGCACAGGGCCCTTCAGTCCTTCTGTAGAAGGAGAAGAGGCCACGACTGAACTTCTCTGATTTTCCAATGAAGGTGCTTCATCCTGGAAGCCCTCGCTCAGCAAACTGCAGCCAACAGCAGGAAAGCGCTTGTGCTTTGCAAACCAGGGTCTACATCTGGACCAGAAGGCTGCAGCCCTAGGAAAACACTAGGCCACGTGAGTGTGGTCCCCACTCCAGCTTTCCCAGAACTGTTGAGGCCGGAGACGACCTTCGGCTGGGTCACAGCACCTAGGGACGTCTGTCCTCTGCCTCAGCTGACAGATGGTCTGAGGGCCCTCACCACAGCAGCCACCCAGGGCTTGCGGGGCCTCGGCAGTCCTACCCTTCCAAGCACCTCTCATGGGGCTCTGGTTCTGACGGTGCCTGTGTGCTCAGCTGCACACGCACTGGGTGGCGGGCCCAGCCCCTGTGGGGAGCAGTGGAAGCCGGAGATTTGGGCCAAGGAGCACCCACTCTCAGCGAAAAGTGACACGTGAAGCATCTGCCCCAGTGGCCTTCCCTGTTCCCTCCCATCCTGCTCCTGATGGAAATACATTTTGTTCTCTTGTGAGTGATAGAATCCTGAGGAAGTTTCTCTGGGAGATTTCAGAGCTATCGCGCTGGTCGCCATGAGATTGGAGTTGGTTGATATTTGAGGTTCAGACTGAAGGAGGAGATTGGGTGGATCCTCCGAGAAAGGAAAAGGAAACGCATAGTGTGTGTCCTGTGTCCGCATCGTCTGTGTATCCAGATCTAGGTCCACTGCGTCTCCCACCTGGCTACCTCACAGTGACACTGAGGACTCCAGGCCTAACAGGGTGACATGAGGTGCCTTCCCAAGTCCGCAGGCACCTGCCAGGTGGGGCAGAGGCACTCATGACATGTGCAACCACCCAGTGTGGTGGTGACGAAATAGAGGCCTTCAGTCCACAGGTGTGGGCTCAGCACGGTGGGGAAGACACTTCGGTCCTTTGTATCAAATGGCTACTTGATGACCAGCTTCATTCCTGGGTTGGTGGAGGAGGCGTGTTGAAGACCTCAGCAGGTCACAGGGGAGACTCAGACCTCCCAGGTGTGAGGACCGCCCTCTGCAGTGTAGACCTCAGCAGGTCACAGGGGAGACCCAGAGCTCCCAGGTGTGAGGACCTCCCTCTGCAGCAGGAGTGCTCCCTGGGGAGGGCCTTGGTGCTCTTTCCACTCTGCACTCCTCCTCCTTACCTGGCCTCATGGGGCTCAAACACCCAGAGGGGCAGACCCACCGCGCAGCCGGTGGGCTTCTCACCTGCGAGACCGTGATGCCACACTTCTTGGCTAACTCCTCTTTTGCTTCCTCACTGGGGTAAGGGTTGCTGAGGTGGGAATAGAAGTACTCGTTCAGGATCTCCGTGGCTTGCTTGTTGAAATTCCGTCTCTTCCGCCTTTGTAAAGAGAAAGGAAAGGTAAGAACAATAAAACCTTTACCCCATATAAGCACAAGAAGGGAGAGAATAGGACTGACTTCTGGGGAAAGGCACATTATTGAGCAAAAGGAGAATTAGACTGGCCGGGGACTGGATGCCAGAACCCCTGGAAGTGTGCACCCCTTCACCGGGTCTAAAGGAAGGGATGCAGACACTTTTGCACAGAGCTGCGAGGAGCAGGAAGTCTCAGAGGTGGGGCCCTCTTGGTGTGGAACCCCAGGCTGGTGATTCGGGTTGCCTCTCTGGGCCTTCGCTTCACTGACAACAGTGAAGAGAGCCGTCCTGAGCCCCCAGGTGAGCACAGGAGGAGCCAGATGAGTGCCCGGCAGAGTGCCCAGCAGGCTGAAGCTGGCCCTGGGTGGCCCCAGGTCTCTCTGCTTGGCTGGCTATCAGCCCTGGAATTCTCTTTTTTCAGCTAGTGAGGTGGACCGGCTCCTCCTAGGCACAGATGAAGGACTGCTTGCAAGGTCTTGGCTGGCCTGCCGTGGGGCCCCGGGTTCATTCAGGTCTGCCAGCCTGTGGAACAAACGCAGCCTCTTCCTTCTAGCAAACTGCCTCCTAACGATTAGGCAGACCCTGCAGCCACAGTTAAAGATAAGTTATCGCTTTCTGTCCACTCTATCCGCGTGCAAATGCATGCAGCATTTAAAAGGCACCTGGGGAAGAGGGCAGGGGACAGACTGAAATCACCCCTGACTGCTCGGCTTCCCTCAAAAGGAGAGAAGTGGCCCTTCTGAGCAAGAACAGCTGCTAAGTGGTAAAACAAAGCCCACTAAACCTTTCTCACACACAGGTTGCCAAAAGGAAGGAGGCCACTTCTGAATGAAAGCATTTTTCTGCCTTTTCACAAAAAGTGCTAATTGAACTAATTTGAAGTGAGAATCCCTGTACTTCCACCCAGCCAAGGCCTGCAGCTGGCTGGGAGCTGCTTAGGGAGGCTGTGCTCCTTGCAGACCTGCGTGGCCTCCTTGACGTGGTGGGCCCTTCATCTTTAAATTAGCTCTATTAGCACTTTAGTCTTTCTGGCTTTTATCAAAAGCTTTTCCTTATGGAATAGATTTCCGGAACCTCCTGGTTATGTCCGGATACAGAATTTCCCAATTTAGCCAACAGAAAGCACTGATGGCCTTGCTAGACAGGAAATTCAGCTAATATTGTGTTTCCAGGGTCCCACTTGGATTAATTAACACAATAAAGTGCCTGATTTTACCGGATGAACACCATCTGTCCACAGGTATTAACCACATCTGTCCAGATTATGCCAAGCCCAAGTCACTCTCCCAAATCATGCTGAGTTTCCGGGTCACCCAGCATCAGAAATTGGACAGATTGGATTAAAAAGCCCAAGTAAGAAGAGGCACGTGATAAAAGCTCCTGCAGGCCGGACTCTGAGGAAGGCAGCCGCGTGGCTCCGGCTCCAGCTGCTCCTGAGACACCCCCTGGCTGCTGCTGAAGGCAGGGGTCCTAGGCCTGGGGAACGGGCCGACGTCCCCTGCCTGGGAGAGCCTCGGGCCTCCCTCCCTGTCTGCATGAGCATGATGGGACTCTTCCAACTGCGCTCCAGGAAGCCTCTGGAATGGCGGTGCTGTGGGTGGAGTGGACAGCTGGAGAGGGGCCGTCTCACAAGAGGGCCCCCGCCCCTGGACGCGCTTACCACCTGTACGGAAGCTGTCTCTTTCAAGGCCCTTGAGGGACCCAGGATCAGGACATTTCAGAGTTTCAGGAGACAGTGAGAACAACCCTTTCTGAAGGTAAGAGGGTGGCACCTGGTTTCCTTGTGGTGGCTGGAGGCCTGACCAGCACAGTCAGTGGACACCCATGACTTCAAACCCATGGGACGCTCTGACAGTTGAGGATCTTGGTTTTTAACTTAAGAAACATGGATGCTGAACAATGTTGCTGGACAACACAGTGTTCCAGGGACAGGAACCTTTGGAATCACAGGGCCCCGGTAGACATTTTTCGTACGACTGGCGGTGGTGAGACACAAGGGGGTCGCAGACCATAAGTGTATCTCAGGCAGCCATCACCATGTCCACTGCATATCCAGGCACCTCCCAACAGTTTCCAAAACTAATTCCACCTTCCACCAAGCCGGCTCTGTTGTCCTTCACCCAAATTACTGGGTGGCCCCTCCGACTCCACTTCCGTGGTTGCTAATTCATTCATTCACTCAACTCTTTCAGTCCCAGCTGGTGCCAATCCTGGGTGTGACTAAGCTCTGCTGCTTCCTGGGCCTCATGAACGGCTGTCCCCAAAGCCAGTCCTGCCAGTTCTGTCCTTTCGCATCTGGCCATTTTGCTCCAGCCCTGGGGGCATTGCTATCTTGGTGGCGGGCTGTCCAGCAGTGCTTTTTCCATGTCTGTGCTGTCCGATGCAGTGACCATCAGCCTCGAATCTGCTTTGCAGCTGAAACACGGCTGGTGCAGCTGAGGACTAGTTTTTAGAATGTTGTTATTATCTGATATTTTAATTAATTCACACTAGTAGTCATGTAACAGACAGACAGTGCAGCTGCAGACAGACGGCTTCAGAGACAGCGCCAAGCAGCACTCTGGAGACAGAACTCTGCAGACCACAGAGGTCTGTGGTAGCCTACTTGCATCCCTGTGCAGGGTGGCAGGAAGGTCTCAGGTAAGAACACTCCCCTGAACATCTGTACAGATGCAAAGGTGCTTCAGACTTGCATCTGCCCTAGCGGGCACCCCGGCCTCAACAGCGGCTCCCCCAGAGCCTCGGCCAGTTCCGCGGTCTTCAGGAGAATCCCTGGAGGAAGCTTCCTGAGCCAGGATCCATTCAGGCCGCTAATGACTGACCGGCACAATGAGGTGGCAGGCGCCCGTGGAAAGCACGTGGCCCGTCATTCCTGCAGCAGAGGGCGGTGCGCAGACCGTGATCTGAACTCTCTGCGGTTTGCTTTTCATAGTATCCTATTTGTTCCCGCTTACAGAATTGGCCCATTGATACAGAAATAAAGCTGAGTTGTTGGGAAGATAAGTCACTCATCCAAGGTCATGGGGTCTTCAGGTTGTAGCCGAAATTCCAATTCCGTGCAATCACAGAACTCTCGAAGTGTCCCCGTGCCCCCATCCTCACCGGCACTGAGGGTTTCGCAGGTCAGGAGGCAGATTCGGAGCCCAAGTTCCTGGCGACTCTGTCCTGTCCTTCGGGCCTCACCCCCCTCTGCAGAACTTTGCAGCCTGAGCACAGCCTTCTGTGTGACCAGCGCCTTGGAGGCTCTCGGCACCTTGCTTCTTCTGTGCACCTCTCTCCACTGTAAGTGCCACAGGTTAGCTACGCCTCCCACAGGCAGCGCCTTCCAGGGTAGGAACCACATCTCAGAGGAGCTTGATGCAGAGCAAGTGCCGGGGGCGGGGGAGGGGGCGGGGCTTGCTGTGGTTGAACTATATCACTCTACCTGCCACGTCCCATCCTCTTGAGTGTGGTTTGTCCCAAGAGGTCAGGGGCTCTGTGAAAGCAGGGCCCACGTTCACATGTATTTTTATCCTCTTTGTCATTCCAGTGGTTGACACCGGCTCCCACCAGTGATGAGCCCAGTCAGGGACACGAGAAAGTCAGACAGTCCGACAGACCTCGCTGGCTGCCTTCCTATCCGGCGTCCTCTCCTTAGGTCACTCCCTTCAAGAGCAGCGGTGAGTGTCTGTGTTAGTGTCGCTGTCTCCCACAACATGTTACAGAAAGATCGTTCCCACTTTTGCTGAAAAACCTTAGGGGGTTAGTAAGTTCTGCTCATTCTCTTTAAGGAAAGCGTTTTTCCTGTCTTGAGCAATGCCTGGTTGTATGGCACAGTGCTGTCCACAGCATGAGAGGACAGATGCCGAATGTGGAGGGAGTGCGGGGTGCTGCTTCCAAGGCCAGCTCTCCTGGCAGTCTGGTCAACATAGGCAAGAGAGAAAGGATGCAGCCCATGCAGGACAGGCCCAGCCCAGGCCCCTGCTGAGAAGCACAGTGACAGGAACCCAGGGCCTGATCCTGGCGAGAGGCTGGGATGGGAACCCGATGGGATATGGCCCTTGGACCAGGTGACCAGTCAGCTGAACGTGGAGTCAATGCGAAGGGAGAGTGGGTTAAGCCTTAATGTGGAGTTTCTCCTGCCAGCCGTCAGGAGGACCACTGTGACCTGCATATGGAGGTGAGGCGTCTGGGAACGCAGCTCTCGGCTCCTCCACCGCAAGGATCTGCCAACAGCTAGAAGAGCACAGGAGGGGCCCTGAGCGGCAGACGGGCCTCTGCCTGAGCAGACCACACCTCCCTCTCATCCTGCAGGACCAGAGTAGAGGACCCTGCAGAGCCCGGCCCAGACCCACCAGCAGAAACTGGTTGTTGTAAGCGGTTAAATCTGTGCTAATCTGCTGCACAGCATTAGAAAGCTAATACAAGGCGTGTCCCAAACAAAGTATCAGCAGTGGCCTCCACATACCTACTGGTCAGGACACTAATCCTGTTATGAAGGCAAGCCCTCTTTGTGTTTTATTTGTCTTCCATGAAATCTTTTTTGGATGAGGCCCTGCCCATCAGACCCCTGTGGAGTAGCAGGTCCCTGGCAGAGAGTGCTATAGTGGCTCTAAGTAAGGTCTGCTCCCTCTCCCTCCCTATCATGGTGAGTGGTCCTGGAGGACGGGCTGTTGACCTCCCCGTCAGCAAGTCGGGGCAAATATTTACTTCTGGGCTGGGAAAGGCATTTGCCCAATGTGGCTGGCATGTGGGCGATGCTCTTCCAATAATGAGCACATCCACAGTGTAAGATGATCCCAACAGGACAATGGGTCAGTGTTTCGGTTTCCAATCTTGGCTCAGACACGATGATTCAAAGGTCACAGCCCCAGAGAGAAAGAGACCCTGTCTTAAAGCAACTGTCCTCTGGTGCTGAGGGACAATCCAGGCAGGGGCTGTGGAGGTGGAGCCCTGAGCACAAGTCAGCCTTGCCTGGCGTCTCCTGGAGTCTGACCTTCAGCTGGGCACAGGGGAATCACTGCAGGAAGAAACCCAGGGAGACAATGCATCTGCTCCGTCCTTTTCTCCCATCTCTTTCTTGAAAAGAACCCAGTCTGGGCCCGACTTTTCTTTCTTCAATCTCTGCCAACATAAACGCCAACTCCGCATTTTAACTAGGGAGTTACCATGGGGATGTGAGCAGCACAGGCAGCGAGTCGGCTATGGCACAGGAAGGGCCCAGACAGGCCGCCATCCCCGCCCTGCACACAGACGCAGCCAGGCTGGCGCGGGCCGTGGGCCGAGGGGGACGCCCAGAGGGTCCCGTGCCAGCTGACCCCCCACTCCCACTGCCTCGCTGGACCCAGCTGGAAGTGCTGCCTTCGTCTTCCCTTGATCCTGAGGCGGGGTCTGCTAGCTGGTATCCACACCGAGTACTCCATGCAGCCAGGTCACGGAGGAGGGAGTGGGAGGAAAGGCCCAGAGCCCTGCGGGGCCCATGGCCCCAGGAACAGAACTGTGACGAGAAACACAGTAGAGCTCTGTGGCTTCAAGGTGGAGGTCCAAGAGCAGCAGGGCATCTTTCTGTCTGACTGAAAAAGGGGTCCCATGGCAGGACTAACAGGCACACCTGACCCCCCGTGAGAAGCACCACCCATGGGGGCACCCTCGGGACCTGGGGAGCTGGACGGCAGCATCCCTGTTCAAGATGAACTGCAGACCACGCATGTGCCAGGCCAATTGTCAGGATATCCTTCCAGAGCAGATGAGAAATGGTAATCACCATCTTGCAAACCAGATGCCAAGAGTGGGCAGAATCCAAGGAATTGGGAAAGTCCTGGCTCCAGCGCAGGAGGGCCAGGGCTGGGTGGCCTGTCCTTGGTCCTTTGTTTGGTTCTTGAGCACCTGAAAGGACCTTCATGGCGTGTTCTCAGTGGGGTGCACGGGGCTCATAACGTCACAGTGAGCAGATGCTGTCTACCAGCTGGGCCCACAGCAGGAGGCCTCCTTCCTCTCTATGCCTGAGGGACCAGACCTCCCTGTCCCTGAACTCCCGAGACAGCCCGGAGTACGGGCACATGCTAATCAACTAACAAATACTGCCAAACTGAACTCAGCTGCTCTCTGCCTGTGTGGGAGGAGGAGACCGCGCCTCGAAACAGGCCAACCTGGCGCTCTTAGAGCAGGGTGCACTAGGGCATGCTGACTGCACCTTGCTGGTCAGCTGACCAGGGGCCCCAGGTGAGACGCACGTGAGACAGGTGCTCAGTGCTGGGAGAACCCCCGCCCCCAACCAGAGCTGTCATCCTTGGGGCTCACCAGAGGGAGTAGCCAAGGGAGGAAACCGTCCCTCCAAACCTGCAGCTTCCCAGCACTGCCCCCTCTGCCTGCCTGAGACCAGCGGTCCACCCTTCTCCCAGCCTGCCACACAAGACCTGGCAGCCATCCTCGGGTCACGGCCTGGCTCAGCAGTAATGTGGTACAGCCAGAGCCTTTCAAGAGCGCCAACCAGAGCCCCCCTCTTCAGTGGCTCAGGAGGCCAGCAGAGCCCCAGGACACTCACCGCGCATCTAGAAACCGGGAACGCAGGATCATGACGGCCTCGCACGTGCTCTGCTTGAGCTGCATCTGGATGGAGCTGAACTTGCGGTGGATGATGCTGACCATCCGCTCGATCTCCTTTGGGGAAATGGGCCTGGTCCGGCTCTGCTCTCGGAGGAGGTTCATCACGTGGGTGGTGAACTCATTGCAGGCCTGAAATGGAGAGCACAGATGGTCCTGAGGGCCCAGGCAGGCCCGCGCGGCGGAGCTGGGCCACTCTGCTACGGACCTGTGCAAGTGGAGAAAACTAGGAGAGCACGGCATCTTGTCAAGTAGATGGTGGGATAAACGACTGCCTGGAATTCCTTTTAGCTCGGTGGCCCCGAGTTTTGGCCATGATTTCAATTATTTAAGGGAAAAGGAAATCCTTAATTGATTTTTTCCTGGACTTTGCTACAGTGAAAGGTGAGAACGTAAATGCTGGTATAAAACTCGCTGCGCCACCCTTGGCCCCAGTGTCAGCCACAGTGAGAGCTGGGGTCAAAGGTATCGGGAGCTCTCTGCCTTGTTCATTATCTATGATGTGCTATCGCTTCCAAATATTCAATTTTGGGATGCATAAATAACCCAGAGAGTTCAAGAGGAAACACGGAATTAAAAGCTTCAGACTCTGGGAGGTTTCCCGTCAGCCATTTCCAGTTTTACTCCAACGCCCACACTCTCAGCCTCCTTCTGAGGAGCCACACTCCATAACACAGAGGGAGTCTGACCCCAGGGACTTCATAAAAATGACATCACAACAAAGGTTGGAGGACCCAGGATCCTCTCAGGTTATAGAACAAAATTCCACCAGCCCGGAAGTAAGCCTGGAAATCAAATTTCTCTACCTCCTTACTTTACAATTGGAAAACTGTGGCCCAGAGAGACAAAGGGACTTTTCCAAAGGCCCACAATAAGGAAAGCGAGGCAGAAGCAGGGCCCAAATGCCTCATGTCACGGGCCAGAGGCTCAGAGCCCCACTTGTCCCTCTGTAGACCAGGGCCCTTTGCTGGCATCCACAGTTTGGTTTCTTTAGCTGAACAGTTAATAAAACATGTCTTCACAGGTTGATTCAGTGACGCTGGGACACTGTATTAGATCCGTAGTGAGAAAGCTCAAGAGACCTGAACTCAAAGGCCCAAGTCAGCATTAACAGCAAAGCACCCTTAAGGTCGGCAGTGCTGTGCTGCGCTTGCTGCTGCTGCCCAAAGGCCTTCGCATGCGCCAACGGTGCAATGAGGACGTAGTGGTGCACGTTCTGTTCACCTAAGGAAGACGTCCAGCTTGACTGGCCAGGCAGCCGCAGACGCACCCACTGGGCTGGGTCTGCACTGGAGAGCAGCAGCCTGTTGGGCCCGGCCTCTGGGAGCACTTGAGGAATCCTTGCACTGTGCAGGCCTCTGCATGCCCGCGAGCCTGGCTCTGCCCACTCCTAATCCTTTGGCATGTCCAGTTGTGCCACGCTCCACCTGCAGCTGGAGCAAATCGCTCACCTGGCCTAGGAGGGGCTGTGAGAGCGCAGGCTGCCTGTTCCCTGCCCTGACGCTCAGGTGGGGTGGGATCACAGAGGGGTCCTCAACCTCTCTGTGCGTCTTCCTCCTTCCTGGTGAAATGGATGACAGCCTTGAAGGGTGTGGCACATTAAATGCGTCTCTCTCTGTGTGCCTGGCCCTACAAAGTCCTGGCACAACTATGGCTTCAAAACAGAGTCCTTGGAAACCCAGTCTACCACTGTGGCCGCCTCCAGCCTCCCTCCTGGGGGAAGTCAGAGTGTGATGAACACCAGCCTCCCTTCCATGTTCCGGCTGGGACCCATGCAGAACTGAGGAAAGCGTGATACAAACACGAGACCTGTCCTAGCAGCTGTCCCCAGCCAACCTCGGGCCCAGAACTGAGAGAAATTACACATGGCTGCCAGTGAGCCTCACCCCTGAGGCCAAGCAGAGTGAGGGAGGCACAGGCTGGACCCCAACCATCTTGCTGGAGGAGCAGCCGTCCAGGGGCTGAGGCCCCCAGCCGGCTTCACAGACTGCAAGGGAGGAGGGGTGGGGGGCACCGTTAGGTGTCCCAGCTCTCAGCTGGGGACACAGTGCTGGCTGGCCCATCTGTGCTTCACTGGGGTCTAGTTAGGTGCCTCCCCAGGCCTTCCTGTTCTGCCCATGGACACTGGGCACACTGCAGGGGAGCAAGGCAGCTGCTGAAGAGCCGCCCAGGAGTGACAGAGGCCCCGGAGAGGTGGCCCCAGCTGCAGGGCCCGATGCCCACAGCCCTGCCTGGGGTCCCCACAGTGGGCTGCTTCCGGGAGGTCAGGTGGTCTCAACTCCACGGGGTGCCAGCATCCGGGCTACAAGCAGCAAGTTAGTAGAGCCCTCCCAGACCCAGGGTTTCCACGGCAGACTCGGGAGGAAGGACACTGGAGCTCTAGTCGCCACCCCCCCCCCACCCTCCCAGGGCACGGGAGGTTCTAAAAGGCTCCGGGTTCTAGCACAAGGGAGGTCTGGGAAGAGCAACCAGAGAAGACGGCCTCTCAGGGAGACCTGCAGCAGAGGTCCAGTTGAATCCTGCTCTCCAGCCTCCAGGCCTCCCGCCTCTCCCTCCACTCCTTCCACTGTCCCAACAAAAACCAAGAGGGATCTTGGGGGCTGCTTAGCTGTGCACCAAGTAGACCCAGTGCAGCTCAGCATCGAGATGGAGCTCGCCAGCGGCAGTGTTTACAAAACCTGGAGGATCCTGCAAAGCTGCCGGAGGATCATTTTCACACACAGCCCTGGGGATACATTCAGGCTCCCGGCTCCGAGGTTCTGCTACCCCAACAGGCCACCAACAGCACCTGCTGAAAGTGCCCTCCTCCAGCCCCACTCCACAGACAGAACACTTCTTCCACTCCACTGAAAGCCTCCAGAAGCTTCTGTACTTAACAGCCTCTGGCTCTGAGGAGGGCTGTGACAGCCGACTTTCCCCAAACAAAATGAAATCCAGGCGTCAGCTGGTAAACCACAGACCTGGTAACTCCGTTCGGGAGCCAGTAGGCCACAGGGCGATGTTCTACTGGACCAGGGTGCCCTGCTTTGACAAAGGCCCATGAGGAGTTGTTTCAGAAGACACATCTCAGACACACCAGATTCTCCATAACCTGCTACTTCCTATCATTAACAACACAGCTAATTTTAATAAATTATTAAGCAGAAAGTGCCCCTGCAAAGAAGGAAAGGTTGCTTCGGTACTTTCTAAAATAGTAAATACCAACAACTACCATGACATGCCCACAGTTTGCTCGGTGTCTAGGGGCTCTTCTTGTGTTTCTAACTTCTAACATCTTTATTATTTAGAATAGGTCAGTGCCGGGGAAAAGTTCCTCCAGAGAACGTCTCTGTACCCACCTGCCTTGGGTGCCAGCATCTAGCCCAGGAAATCACAGAGGGGACAAGACATCACACTGTTCTAGGTGCAGCCAGGTATCCCAGAGGGTGCCCTGGTCAAGGGTCAGCACCAGAGCTCAGGGCGCTCTGGCTGGACATGGGACCAGGCACTTTCTGACCTCTGACCTCCCCTTCCTACCCTACATGGAAATGTGATGGCACCTCCTGTCCAGGTCCCCAACCCCAGAACTGCCTGGAGGAGCCAGGGCAGCCAAGTCAGCCCCAGGGAAGCCACTGGGATTGGTGGTTGGGACACGCTCCTGCTCACTCACAGGAGAATGGAGTGACAAAGGGGCTCGTGGGGAGAAGAGTCTGTCTCCTGAGCGGCCGGCATCCTGAGCTAGACACAGCCAGCTCCCAGCCCCTTCCAACCCGACACGCTCCCATCCCCAGAGTGAGGACCCACTTGGCTCTTCCAGTGCCCCCCTTGATTGGCAGGAGTGTCCAGAGAGGCCAGGCCAGAGGCCAGGTGTCCTGGTGCAGGTGTAGAAGAGTCCTGAGGAAGGAGAGCCGAGGCCAGAGCGTCTCCACGGCAGTGTCCCCCGTCACCTAACCTAAGGTGCCCAGTAGGTAGGGCAGCCCTAGCTTCCAGCAGGCGCAGGTGGGGAAACTGGGTGAGCAGAGAAGCTCTCAATGCTGGGATCCGGGGATGTCTGCCAAGGTCCCGGGGGTGGCGCTCCAGGGCCTTGGCTGGCCTGCTCCCATCCCTCCTTCGCCCTCCGCCCGGGAGGCCTGCATTGACCCTGGTGGCTTTGGGCTTCACGGCAATCTCTCCACCCAGCAGGGGGACTTTGTAGAAGTCTATTTCAAGGGGGGACAGGAGTATTATAATGAAACTTTCTTCATTTTAAATTTTAAAATGCCTATTTCTATTTTAAAATTTAAATTTTCTATTAAGTTTCATTTGCCTCCCACCTAGACAGTCCTGTGTGGGCTGCAGGGCGTTTTCTACCTTTGGCTCTTCCTCCCTTTTCTTTTTTGATCCATAAAAATTAAGGAACAGAACATCTAATATTTGGTGGGAGGAAGTTCACGTAGAACTTCAGCACCACGTGTGTCCAAGAGGAGGCCGCAGATGTGGCAGCTGAAGGACAGGCACAGCCCTGATGCCACAGCCTCCTGTCCTTCACCTGCGGGAAGGCAAATGTCCTTCACCTGTGGGACGGCCAATGTCCTTCACCTGTAGGATGGTAAATGTCCTTCACCTGTGGGACAGTAAAGGTCCTTCACCTGTGGGACAGTAAAGGTCCTTCACCTGTGGGACGGCCAATGTGCACCTGCAGCTTTCTGAGCCGCCTGCAAGCCACCTGCCAGGCCTGCTCTCCAGGGGTCAGGCTCTGGGGTCTACTGGGGCACCCCACTCTTTCTGGAAGGAAGGCGTGAGTCCTGTTGCACGCCACATGTTATGTAAAGAGGAGAACGTGTCTGCCTTAATGGCACTGCGACTGTGGACAAAGGGCCTGTAAGGACAAGTTTTAATGTCCTTTCGCACAGGAGTCTATCAGCATCAAAAGAGCAGTCGTCCTAAATAAGGGACGATCAAGGGCAAAGCCAGTGGCCGTGATGTGACTGACATGCCCCAACCAGGTGTGAGCCACTCCACCTGGCAGCGCCCACGGAGTGCCAGGTGTTGGGTGTTCCTCACATGGATGCCGGAGTGTCCTGAGACCACCACTCACAACTTCCCCTGCGTTATGCCTGCATCTCATTGAACGCCTGTTCTTCCATGGTTGAGCCTAGGGGCTTGGTGGCCTCCAGTTCGACTGGGCTTTCTGGCCAGCAAGGAAGTGCTAGGCACAGTGCCTGTGGAAGCAAGGCTGGCCGAAGCGTCTGTGACCCAGGGACAGCCCTGCACCGCAGGCCGTGCCGAGCCCAGGCCCCCTTACCTGCTCATACTTCTCCAGCTCCGTGTGGTAGATCTGCCTGATCTGCGACAGCTTGGCCCTGTAGTCGGAGTGCTCCACCGAGTTGTCTGAGCCCGCCCCTCCAGAGGCTGCGGCAGCTGCTGCTGCTGCCGCAGACCCACCGCCCTTCTCGGGCCCGGCCACCCCCTCGGCCAGCAGCATGTTGTCCAGGCGCATCAGCTGAGGGTCCGTGGGCTCCTCCTCCTGGGCTCCCCGGATGCTCAACACTAGGAGAAAGACAGAGACGGGCAGGTGAGCAGAAGGCCCTGGGGAGAATTTCAGCCAGGGCGGTGCAGGGGCCACCCAAGGAGTGGTGGGAGAAACCTGGGGAGGTGGCGCTGCTCGAAGCAAATCACACTCCACCCACACCGGGTCTCTAGCGTGGCCAGCCTCAGAGAGGCAGAGACGGTGGGAGGCCAGGGGTGGCAGGTGGGTGCACCAAGCAGAGCTTAGCTTTGGGGTGGTGAAAGGGTCTCAGTGCACCCTGAGGACCACTGTACGGTGAAAGACGTAACACCACTGATCTGCACACTCAAAAAGACCCCAAACAGTGAAGCTCCTATTGTGTACGTTTTACCACAATAAAAAATCCAGAATGACAAAATTTAATTACAAGAGAATATATTTTTGCTTTCATTTTCCAACTGCCGAATTTCCATTGAAGGAGAAGCATTTCCTTCTTTATTTCTAATTTTAGATTTCCGCGAGCTTGCGGCTTCACTCAACTTTCTTTGTAACATTTGATTAAAGGAAATTTTCATTTCCAACATGGCCTGAGCTAGATAGGTGGAGGGAATGGAGGAGATCTCAGGCCCTGGGGCAGGACTTCTCCCCCTGGCCGGGCTCCCTGCGCTCCAGGCCACGTGGCTCTGTCCTTTGGGGAAACAAGGGCGAGGCCCCTTAACAAGACCTGTCAAGGGGTTTGGGAAGGCATGGTTCCTGCACAGGGGATGGCCATCTCTACAGACACCACAGACGCTGGGTGAGGGGTGACTTGGGCCCAGAGAGACCCAGAGATCCAGCCTTTCCTTGCTGCTGCATCCCACCTGCCGTATAAGGAAGCGCTCATCTCACCTGAGCTAGAGTCGGCAGCCAAGCCTTGGCTGAGAGGTGCATGAAGGGGACTTTCAATTTAAAAAACTTGAGGAGGATTTTTGAGGGGGGGGGGTAGCAAGGGAGAGAGGTACTTGTGGGCTGAGGGGAAGGGGGCCAGCATTTAATCGAGTTCAGGGCTGCAGGTGGAGGGTCTAAGTCCCTGGTGGATACACAGCTCGTGGGCCATGAGAGTCAAGGGTGCTTCAGGGCAGGTGCCTTGCGTGAGCCCCAGGGGGATGGGCCCATGCCAGCTGCCTGCAGAACCGAGCCAGGTGGCCCTGCCAGGCTGTGACTGGGGACACCTAGAGGTCCAGGGCCTTCCGTCTCCAGCAACTCCAGCATCACTGTCGGCTGTGCCCACACGCTTGGCTTCCAAGGACCATGACAGGTACCACTGCTGAAAGCAGTTTAGGAAGAAATCCCACATCCTGTTCCGAAGAAAAGCTACAGCAGGGCTGTCATGGACCAGGGGTGGCCGTGTGGACCAGCTGTGGCCATGAGGAGCACAGAGAATGAAAGTGCAGGGACACCTGTGGCCTTGATGGACTAAGAAAGGGCTGGAGGGAGGGTGGAGGAAGGAGAGCGGGAGGTGGGAGAGAGAGGAAGGAAAACCCCCTGCTGAGTCCCGGCCGAGTCTTCCTCCCACACCGCGTGTTCTGCTGTCGACGTCACGGCACAGGTGAGAAGGCCCCACAGCTGTCTTTCAGGGAAGCCTTCCTTGGTAGGCTCAGGAGACCATGGGAAGCTGCCCGTCGGACGGATCATTGGGTGATAAAGAGGCAGCCGTGGATTCTGTCTCTTGAGCTTATGTACTCAGGTCTCCCAAGTCCCCCGAGGAGCTTGTCACCACCACCAAGGCCTCCTGTGCAGAGTGACTGTGTGGCCTTCCTGCGACGGGGACCTCATGGTGCCAAGAGGGATCCAGCCACCCAAGGCACCTGCCACCAGAGCCCTGCAGCTCTGCCCTCCCACCCCCCGGGGTCCAGGAGACTGTCCGGGGTGAGGATGTCCACTTGTGGGGTTTATGGGTCTTTATTGGTCAATTTTAATTCCATTACAAACAAAGATGTTTATGAGTCATCCCAAAATTGAAAAAAAAAAGAAAGATAGGCTCTGAGTTATTAATAAACTAATGTAATCATTTCCCTAGAGATTAGAAAATTTAAAAAAAGGAAAGTTAACAAGCAGAAAACCCAGAAGTCCTCTCCAAGTTTCTCCGATTGCCCTGTTTAATCATCCTCAAATCGTGAAAACGGAAAACGTCAGAACGTGTGCAGGAGCCAGTGTGAGCAGGGATAGCTCCGGGCAAGACTTTCACCTTCCGCTCCGTCCACGGGAGGGTCTGGTTCTGGTGCACTGGCTGCATGTTTATGGGGCACGGGGCAAGGAGGGCCCAACAAGGACGGCGGCGGCGGCATGCTTGTGGTCCAACCCAGAGCCAGGGGACGCCAGCGCACCACTGTGAAAACAGGCGCTGGATTCACTGACACGGAAACTGCTCAGCCAGTCAGTTAAAATAAAGTCCCACCAACATTAAATAAATAAGCGGAAGGGTGGTGTGTCTAAGCAGAACTGAGGCTACCTATTTATTGCTTGAAGCCAGCACGCTGGCGAGTGGGAGACAAAATGATTATTTAAAAGCTCCTTTTTATCTCGGCGGCACCATGCAAGACTCAAATGAACCTTTCGCCAGGACACCAGAGATGTTAACGCTCATCCTCTGAGATCCAATTTCAGCCAGCGGAGCTGTTACCTAATCCAGCAACCATCACATATGATCAGGTCCCTGCCTCCCTGATGGGCGCCCGCACCCGCCCTCCTCAGACCCACTGCTTCCACTGAAGCAGGTTTTAAAGGGCCCATCCCCATTTATACCTGGCATATGGTTTTCACGGCCAGCAGGCCTGCACCATCCACCACCCAGGAAACGTCCGGCTCCAGGGGACCCGTGGGCTGCAGGTGGCTACTGAGATCGCTGGCCCTTTTAGTAAGAGGCCTCCAGGAAGGCATTTCCCTCCCACGAATCTACCCCTCACCTGAGAGGAGTCAGGACAGGTAAGTGCAGAAATTGTCCCAAGCCTGTCCAGACATGGACATCTGCCTTGCAGCACCGCTTGCCTGTCCTTAGGTAAATTCTGGAGGAGCAGGCTGCCACCGCACTGCGGAGCCACTCCCCGGGGTCTCCTGCGGCTCCTCCTTCCCTTCACACAGGAGAAAGGCCAGACAGACTCCAAGGCACACTCAGGGCTGGGCCTGGTGGAGGCCCAGGGAGGCTTGTTTAGTCCTTGGCTGAGCCGCGGCCTGGAGCAGCTCCAGCCAGTGCCCACGAGAGGGCACTCTCCCCCCACCAAGGACCAGCTGGCCTGGAGGGTCCCACAGTCTCCAGGGTCCAGGGCTGGGGCAAATGGCCCTGCTCAGTCAAACCTCCACAGGAGGAGCAGGTGGGCAGGAGGCAGAGCCCAGGTTTTCAGATTGGGACAGTAACTCAGAGATGCAGAGCAGAGAGGAGAGACAGCCTGAGGATCGACGCAGACAGGTGGTTGGGAAAGGCCTGTGTGCCGAGGGCAGGCCCTTCTCTGTGATTCGAAGGCACACCTCAGACAGGGTGAGCCTTCGCACAAATACCAGGAGGCCCGCGGGGAATGCAGCTCCGGGGCTCAGCCCAAGTCCTCTGCCACCTCCCCGTCTGGCAGGACTTTGAAGGCAGGATGGGACAGAAGCTGGCTGTCCTTGCAATTTTAAAGCACGGCAAACTGCTTGCCTCTCAGGGGCCTCATTCCTGTGCAGCCATGCTCCCAGGGCAAGCAGCAGAAGGTGAGGCCAGGTGATTTCCCAACATCCAGGTGACCATGAGGCCCAGGAGCACCTGTGCGCGCACACGCGCACACACACACACACACACACAGCAGTAGGTGAGGGCAGGTGACTTCCCGACAGCCAGGCCACCATGAGGCCCAGGAGCACCCATACACACACACACACACACACACACACAGAGCAGAAGGTGAGGCCAGGTGACTTCCCGACACCCAGGCGACCATGGGGCGGGCCCAGGAGCACCCGTACACAGTCTTTATCTCCTGATGCCCGAGCGTGGTCAGTGTGTGGCAAGAGGGCATCAGCCAGACAGGAGGGTGAGAGGACTTCCCTACACTGGTGCCTTGATTTCCTTAACTCCTGCAGATCTGGGTCCTCTCCCACGACCTCCCGGTCCTTCTTTGGATGGGCAGAGCCCTGAGCCTGGGGCAGGATGTGCTCTTTCCTCCTGCCCATAGATGCGCTCCTCACAGTCCCAACCTGCTTGTTATCTATTTTATTTGTTTGTTTACTTATTTATTCACTTAATTTTAGCTCAGTGGCTGAGCACCCTGGCTTCAGTCCACATTTCCAGGAAAAAAACACAAAAAGTTTCATCTCATCCCATTTTAAATCTCACTTCAACCTCTTTCTGCAAGAAACCTTCCCACGTGAGAACCTCGGATATGAGGTCCCCAGCTCCTGAGCCACCAGCACACTGTCCACACCATGGCCGCAGGGCACCTCGGGATACCATCACACCTGCATCTGGCCAGCAAGGCTGAGCTCCTGAGGGGCATCTGTTGGAGTCTGGCACTGAGCGTGTGCTGTGGGCCTCCCCAGGAGTGACCGGCAAGCATGGGGGTGTCCCCAGGTCTCCACCTGCCCTTGGCCGGGAAGTGAGAGGAAAGCGTCTCTCCTAGGGGAGGCCACCACAGGAAGAGAAGCTCCTCGGTCCTCTCCTGCCTGACGTAAAAATGTCCTGCAGCATGGAGCCTCGGTGGGGCACCCAGCCTGTCGCCTGGTCTGTGCAAGAGCGTCCCAGAGCCCTGCACCCAGCAAAGCCTAAGTGAGCGCACTGGGCTCCCCTCCTCAGCCCGCGGCACAGCACAGAGAGCACCCGGCACAGCCAGGGGAGATGCCTGCCACCAGGCCTAGGCTCCTTCAAGCCGTTTCCTCATCACCAATGAGGTGACAGAGAGTCAGCCATGCCATGATTCTTATTAAGGATTAAATGAGGTTTCTTTTGCAAAAGCAGGTCAGTGATTGGTAACTGGTAGGTTTCCAGCTGTTGGTTAAATTGGAACTCATGGATAAGAGTCCCCTTGGAAAGAGG